TCTTCAGAGCATCAATGTTAATTTCAACATGTCGGCCCCTGCCAACACGGTTTTGAACGCAATTTGGTGAACCATCGTTGACACTTAGGAACCTTCAAATCATTTTCATAAACTTCTTTGATATTCTTTGTGGCTACAGAGGCGTTGTTTCCCTTCTTGTATTCAAACAGCATTACATGCCGAATGTGTGTCTGTCTTGTCGTGTGCCATCACTATAAAGGATTAGAGTATTTTTTTTTGTTTGCGATTTATGGGGGTGCCATCAGCAGGTGATCTGCCCCCAAATTCCCTGACCTGATTTAATTGAAATATATACTGCCATTTAACAAGAAGTTAGTAGTTACATATACTTTTTTTATATATTTATTTTTTATTTATAGGAATTAGAGTATACTAAACTTTACACATTATATAGGCTACACTAACGTGACGTTTAGGCGGTTCGTTTAACTATTATACGTGATGTACGTTTTTTGGGGGTGGTTAATGAAAGTGTTCCAAAACGCGACATTAATTTCTTGACGACCTAATATTTTATTTTCTGTGTATTTTCCCAGTCAATAAAAACAAAATTATTAAACTTTCAGAACAGTTTTCACCTTTATTAAACTATAATCTTTAAGAACGTATTTGTTTAGTCTGGTTAACACAAAATGTTAGAGAAATTCAAGTGCAAAAATGTACCTCAGGATCAAAGCTTGACTAGGACTGATGATGAAATGATTGACTTCACTCACAATTAACATAAAGCAAAGGTGTGATTTACACCCATTGCTCCCACTTATTAGATCAATCATTGAGTCACACATTACCGCGGAAGAATACATAAATTCGTGTATTTAATTTCATATCTGCCAATAAACGACTTGTGTAGTGTCGAGAAATATCGAGTACAGTAGTTTATAAAGAGTTAACAGTTTGTTTTTAATTTTGTATCTTGGAAATGGGTTACCCATTTATTCTTATATTTTTCTCATGTATTTTCAAAACAACTTATAATTATTATTTCGAATTAAAAGTGGAATTCATTAATTTGAACATTATTATGTCCAAAAAAATATTTATATAAATGTTCATAAAAATATTTTTTTCCACAACAGCGTCAGTCTAAGTCTTTCATTAGGCACGGACATGCTGTAGAGGTTAATGTAGACAAAAACCTCAAGTTCAGTTAATATATTGCATGTTTTTGAAAATGGTTTCTTTCATAACGCCTTTTAAAAGCCGTTTATTGTTTGAATGGCTTGAAATCCAAAGTTTATTTCTTGTTAAGCACAAGGATACACAATAGGCCATTTGTGCTGTGCCCACCCCGAGTATCGAATCTCGAAGCATTAGACCAGAGACTTACCGCTTAGCCACTGGGGCAGGGGCTGAAATCCAAATCTTCTTCTGTAGCTTTTCCCGTATCTATACGGGGTCGCTATTTTTGACAGCACGTTTCCACTCTCCTCGGTCTTCGTATTCGTCCCCAACAAGGCCTTTCTCTCTAATATCTCCATCCACGCAATCCTTCCATCTTCTTCTTGGTCTTCCTCTCTTCCTTCTCCCCTCCATATCCAAAACCCTCTTGCCTATATAATCATTTTCCCTCCTCATCACGTGCCCATACCACTGCAATCTTCTCTCCTGAACTTTCTTCGATATTTCCACCACTTTAGTTGTTCCTCGAATCCTCTCGTTTCTAATCGTATCAAGCCTCGTCACTCCACACATCCATTTCAACATTTTCATCTCGGCTACCTCTAATTTCTTCTCTTTAGCCTTTTTGATGGGCCAGGCTTCCACTCCGTACATCATCGCAGGTCTCACAACGGTTTTATAGACCTTTCCTTTCACCCTTGTGCTGATCTTATTGTCGCATAGCACTCCCGGCGCATTTTTCCAATTTCAGTGTAGAGTACAACATGTAGAAATATATTGGTGACTATAGAATCTACTTATGTAACTCGAGTGTAGAGGACAACATGTAGAAATATATCGGTGACTATATAATCTACTTGTGTAGCTCAAGTGTAGAGGACAACATGTAGAAATATATTGGTGACTATATAATGATGTAGCTTTAGTGTAGAGGACAACATGTAGAAATATATTGGTGACTATATAATGATGTAGCTCAAGTGTAGATGACCACATGTAGAACTATATTGGTGACTGTATAATCTACTTATGTACCTCAAGTGTGTAATGAGTTGCGCCCTGGTGGGCTTAATTGTTGGAATTTGAATTAAAACTACTCGTTACACCAAATTTATTTATTGGAGGATTTGTCTTGACGAGTGGAGCCACAAGTCGCTAACTCGAGGTAGTTTACAGTTAGACTAAAGAAATAGTCTCAGGCCAATGTTGAACACTTGTAATAACATTTATTAAACATTTAACAACTTCTCAAGAACATAACAAACTTTAAACATTAGTCACACTGGGTTAACTACTTGTATAATGGCATTAAGCACTTTCTACTTACATACATTTAATATTCCTATACTTCTAACACTAGGTGATTAAGAGAGAGAGACTATACTTACAGTAGAGTTGAGTTGTTGGGAGTCTTAGCCACATTTGATATCTTCATTGTTCAGCTTTTCTAGGTACTCTTCAGCTCTGGAGAAACTTTTCTGAGAACTTGGAGAACTGATTTTCTCACTCCTGGAGGAACTGATTTTTCAGTCTGACATGGGTTTTCAAACTAACTTTTCTTAGAATTAATTCAAACCACGAAATAGGACAGAGCATCACTTGCAAGTATTCCCATGTTCCTATTGGATGCTTTAGGGGAATTCCTGGGCTAAACCAAAACCATAACCAAAACTCTCAAGTAATTGGTTATAGATAAGTGGTGTTAGCCAGCCATCTATTCACTTGTACTGCTACATCCATGGTCTGTAACTGATATCGCCTCAAAGAGCTGATATTACTCACTAAACCAAACTTTTTTGTAGCTTTCCTAGTTCTATGGGGTTGAGGTCAGTAATCCATCCACCTTTCACAAGTACTAGTGCACTCATCTTGTTTCTAGGCAAAATTTCTTATGTAACTAGGCTTCTGACCTTGTTTACTAGTTCTCAAGCTCATTTCACAACACAGGTGTCATCTTGTCGTCTCTTTTTTATATATTCTTTACACTGATACAGAAAGTTTGAATATTGGACAAAATGAAAATGTATTTACAGATGATGACAAAACCTTGTCGAAACGTTGTACATTTGCTGTTATGTTAAACTTATATTAAATTTTTTCTTCATTACTCATTCAAGCCGTCTCCAACCATTATTAGTCTCAAAGTGGGTTCCTCATCATCGAATTTAGCTTTTCTATGTTCTAGAATAACTGTAGATTGTAAGAGGAAACCACAAATGTTTATTCTAAATAACTTAAATCTTGTAACAGTATATGTGTATTTATATTTATTAATTTTTTGTTTCATTGACTTTTGAACTGTGTATGACATAAATACGTACCCAACATAAGTTGAAAATCACGTATTGCAGGTCGTGTTACCAGATCAAATAGTGTAATGCTGCTAGCATGTATAACCAAATGAAGATTTTTATTGTATTTTTTCAATATTGTACCTAATAAGTTTCTATTTTTTACATTTTTATTACTTTTGTAATAATATAAACCTTGTATCTAATTATCAAACATTTTTATTTTTTGTTCCAGTAAAGATTTATACTTCATCTGTTGTTTTCTCTACTGTAACATTATACTTGAATATCTAGGTTGTAGAAAAGTAATAAAAGTATTACGAAACAAAAGGTTGCAAAGTGCAAAATAAAATGTATAGTATTATGACACAATTTAACTCAAATGTGTACGATGAAACTGAGATGACATAGTCCTCATACACCAGGGAGGGAGTAGAGCAGAAATTGGAGAGATGGAGGAGAGCGATGGAGGACAGAGGACTTAAGGTCAGTAGAGAGAAGACGGAGTACATGGTCTTTAATGGAGAAGAGGATATGGGGGATGTTAATTTATTTAACGATAAACTTAAAAGGGTAAACACCTTTA